TAGATTTCGTTTAATAGTTGATAAATCTCTTAAGTTTTCATATTTTCCTTAAATTCCCAATCAATAAATACCGAAAATGATTTGTATATGAGTTGTGTGGACGACCAAAGTTTTAGTGAGATCAAGAACCGATCGAAGTTAAGAAACTGTTGAAAATCTGGAAGCACTAGACAGTTATTTCGGGTTCGATCTCTTCGTGGGTGTTCACTTCTAAGACATCTCACAGTTGGACGTTATGTAGTAAATGAGAACCCAATCGGGGATAACTAATTTATTGTTTAGTGTTAAATTACATATGAAAACCATACATTAAATACATGATTTGCATATATTCCTTTCAATTGTCATTTACATGTTTCATGACTCTTCATATTCTGTTATTCTTACAACTGCTCACTGTTTCCTCTGCTGTTATTTTCAGTTTATTTTTCTTCTTGAGGGCGTTCCACTTCTGATTGATGTTACATACTACTTATATCTGTCAACATAAGTAGCATACTTAACAGTAGCAACTGTCCAGTGCTTCTGGGTTTTCAATGGTGGTCTAACTTATATTGACTAGTGAATCCAACTGTTGAAGTACTTTAATCTCCCCAAATCCCCATACTGATAGTTTAGTGATACTTTGCTACGCAATATACATAAATATCAAGTATTCAACCAAGAATAAGAACTCATGTTGTTGATGAGTCTCATAATCGGAGAAACATATGTCCAATGTTTTAGAACTTTCACTTATCTAAAGAATCAATATTAATCAAATTAGTGATTACGAATAAACATAGAAATTTTAAACAGATCTTCATTCTACTGAATGGAAGTTTTCTGTGTGCTTCCCCCTCCCCTCATATTTAGTCTCTTTCTCTTGTTAATAGGTAACGTTTAGTATTCAAGGTACTAACTTTTGTTAAGACTACAAATATCCAAGTTTTTAGAAACTTCAATGGTTGAAATCATGAATCAGTTGAAACTAGATCACCATGAAAAACTTAGAAGCACTAGATGGCCGTTTTGTCCTAGTATGGGACTCCTCAGCAGTGCGCATCCATGACCCCGCTCCCGGCAAGATTCGAACCCGGGACCTGTAAGTCTCGCGCGCGAGCACTCAACCATTAGACCATTGACCCGACATCCAACGGTGTTACGTGATAGTTAATTATTAAACTATGGAAACAACAATCATCTTTAGTGTACGAATGAAAGTTGTATTCTGTACGCCACCTAAGAGATTGTAAATGTACAGTGGTGACTAATCTGCAATCATGAATAAATAGATTTTATTTGGCTTTAAACATATTTGTGCCTAAAATCGAGTTATGAGTGTAATCTATCATATAAGGTTAAAACAGCTATACATTATTGTACTATTTTAGTAGTATATCAATCAGTGATAAAACGTTCTATTCAGGTTGACACTGATTATTATCAGTTGATCTATCTGGTTTAGTCATTTACTTAATAGTAGAGACGTTTAATTGTCATCATTTGATTTATTATATGGATAGATGGATGACGAACAACAGTTATGTCTAGGGCACACGTTTTGTCCTACATGGGACTCATCAACTAGATGTACTTACATACCAGAGGTAATAGTGTTTACTGTGGATGTCAAACCCAGTATCATTAACTCCAAACGCCATCATGTTATTCACTTAATTACTGAGTGCATGTACGGATCTCCTCGATATTGTCTAAAGTCATAAGCATTATAAACAGAGATAGATAGTGTTTAACAGTTAAGAACATGAGTCAATTGAAGCTAGACCACCATGCAAATCCTAGAAGCATTGAATGGCCGTTTCGTCTTATTGTGAGACTCCTCAGCAGTGCGCATCTGCGACCCCGCCTCGCGGGATTCCAACCCAATCCAGTTTGAAATATGTTTTCTTGTTTATTTATAAAAACCAATAAATGAAAAAGTTGTATTTGTATAGATTCCTTGTATTAATATTAAATCCCCATGTTTTTTCTATTGAACTATGTCCTTGAAACTTTATCTTGTCATTATGATGAAATAAATAAACTGTAATTAGTTGAAAACAATTACGTATGCACACACACATACATACACATAGACACTGTATTAGTTATAATGTTGAACAAATAAGGTCAAACTTGTTCGTCTATTGTAAATTACATCTCTTTGTCACTAGATAAACTGACGTTCTCCTCTGTTATTGTAATAATAACAGTAGTAGTAGTAGTAGTAGTAGTAGTAGTAGTAGTAGTAGTAGGAGGAGGAGGAGGAGGAGGAGGAGGAGTAATAGTAATGAGTTAAGTATATCTTTTTATTAATAAAGAATGTAACTGTATACATTATTGATATTGCTTTTGGCAACATTCAATCTATGAGGTGTTTGTCTCTCTGTGTGTGTGTGTGTGTGTGTTAGTTTGTATATACGTTGTGGTTAGGTAACTAGATATATTGAATTGATGAACACTATGAGTCGTTGTATTGTCAACTAAATATGTCGAATGGTTGGTCAAGTAAATCAATCTTTTAAAAACAAAGTTACTATTTGAATTGAAGTATTAAATATTTATGTGATTATTTTTATTTAGTTAAACTTTGAATAACTATTTCTGTATAGCTTAGTTTAATGGTATGATTTAAAAATCCTTGGTTCAATGTTATTCTAAAATCTATGATGAAACATAAATAGGTCATTGAATTGACTTGGATTCTGACTTTACATTGATTGTTAGTATCCATGATAATGTTGATAGATATTGTTCTTGTTTCCAGGGTAGATATCAATTTTCCTACGCTAGTAACTATAATTCAAACACATAATCGATAGAATTCCATTAAGACATGAAAGACTAGATAATATTATAGTGAACAGAACACGGGTGGAGACAATCGAATGTATTTGACACAAAACTACAGGACTTGTTAATAAAATCTAACAATTAAATAGTAAATATGTAATTATCAGAATGGGTTTCGTGGAGATTTTTTAGAAATTTCACTGGTTGAAATCATGAGTCAATTGAAGTAAAATTTCTAAGAATCTCCACAAAACCCATTCTGATAATAATAATCACCTGCTCACTAGTGTCTGACTTCAAGAGATACTCCTGCAGTTCTAGTGAGAAGTCGTTACCAGTGGAGTTCAACCAGGTCTGTTGTGAGATATCAACTCACTGAAGACAATGGTGTATGGTGGCGCAACTTCATGGATTGTTTGAAGTTAGACATTAACACCGTTGGATGCCGGCCGGCTCAGTGGTCTAGTTGGTTAGGTGCCTGGCGCGAGACTGGTAGGTCCTGGATTCGAATCTCGCAGGGTACGGGACCGTGGATGCGCACTGTTGAGGAGTCACATACTAGGGCGAAACGGCCGTCCAGTGCTTCCAGGTTTTCGATTGTGATCTAGCTTCGATTAACTCATGGTTCCAACCAGTGAAATACGTAATTTGCAAAATGTCCATCAGTTGTCTCAAACTGACTCAGACTTCATTGTTCTTGGATTTACATACAAATTGCATTTTGTTCTCATTCTTTACTGTTCGATCCTCTTGTCTCTCTGCTGCCAGACATTCTGTTCCTGATTAACATCTTATACTAATTATGTCAATATAAGTAGCACACACCACAATACGATAGCCAATTGCTTCCAGACGTTTCCACGATGATCTAGCTTCAATTGACTGATGATCTCAACTATTAAAAATTACTATAACATTCACAAAAACCCCTTCTGATAATAGCATATATCTTGTAAATGAAATTAGATACTATGAAAATCATTGAAATAAGATAATTAAGGAAAGAATCAAAATGATGCTCGGTTGTTTAGTTGAACAAGTTGAAAACTTTATTAGAATAGAAGTTTGTCTTAAAAACGACAGATTGAAACGATCTTATTCTGATACTTATATTTAGAAAATACATTTTAGAGGTTCAAGGGGGAAGGGATTCTATTAGTTAAATTTACATAGAAACAAAATGTAAATTACTTTTACTTATAATAAAAGACAGATATATTATTACATTATTACATTGTGATATCAACACAAAAACATGTCTCAATATTAGCTAATTGATATCGTAAGTGAAACAGTAAATTAGCCACTAGAAATAGAAGTATCAGTGTGGGGATTTGTGGATTTTGTAATATTTTAATAGTTGAATTCACGACTCAATAGTCTAGAAATTAAGAGTTCACGCACGGACTAAACGGTCTTGAGTTTAAATCCCATATGTGAGATCGTGGAGTCCCATATTATAACGAAACGTCTGTCCGTTACATACAGATCTAACCTCGATAGAAGGATAATAATTTCATATTTTAAAATGTGTCATTTTTTCATATGTCTACTGGTACTATTCACATTTCCATTGAATTATCATTATTATGGAATACATTATAAGAGTTATCTTAGAACATTCTGGAAAACATCTGAATTAATCTTTTCAAAGATCATTCATGATGCAACAAGTACAAACTAATATATTTTTAGAAATAAACTTGGAAATTTTAAGTTTTCACACGTTTTCTTAAAACAGTTAAATTCAACTAATGAAAGATTCATTCAAGCATAAATCTAGTTCAACCAAAGTGTAAGGTACTATCAAAGTAGAAATTGTGTTTGTGTAGGTGTTCAAATTAACTAAACCATTCCATTTCATCCAAAAACTAACTTGTTTCATTCATAAATAACAATAAAGATGTAGTTACTAAGATCTAACAACAAATTTCATCACAAGGAGGTTTTTTATGGACATTATAGTAATTTTAATAGTTAAGATCATGAACTTTGAAGCACTGAATGGCTGTTTCGTTCTATTATGGGACTCCACCAGCAGTGCACACACATGATCCCACCTCGCGGGATTCGAACCCGAAACCTATCGGTCTCGCATGTGAACGCTTATCCTCTAGACCACTGAGCCAGTATCCAACAGTGTTAATATCTAAATGAATTATGTATATTAACACTTTTAAAATAGAATAACTCAAATTGTATGAGAAGAAAAACAGATCACTTACTTAACTGTTGTTACCACATTGATTCTATTTCTCAATAAGTTGAACTATCCAATTTGTTGGTTTCTTTGTTTTGTTTGTTTTTTTCTACAAGCTGATATCAAAACAAGTTGAAAAAAATTATTTTTTGTTTGTTCGTTTTTACAGTTTCATTAATACCTTCGTCTCTGTTTCTTTGTTTGTTTGTTTTTTGTTCCCAGGAAAGATTCAAAATAAACAAACTTCAAGATGGCATTAATATATTCCACAACATGATATAATATTCTTTTTGTTTTATAATTTTAAATGTTCATTTTCTCTTTTGTATAATTTGTTCTAACGTTTATTGATTATTGTTTTTTTTCCGTCTGAGAGAATAGAAATCGTTTGATTGTGTTTTTGTTGTTGTGGTGATGGTTAGTGTCTATAGTGTTTTTTTTCTTCTCTTCTTTCAATTGTAACTAAGCTAAAAAGAAATAATATATAATTCCTATCAATAGTATATGTTTTATTAGCTGTTTTTTTAAAAAAAATTATTTTATTTCAAATCTTTAATTTGACAAGTGGATAATCAGAATAGTAATAATAATTTTAATGGATGATGTAATATCTGGTATATATTTGAGGTATCATTACTTGTATGTGTGTGTGTGTGTGAATGTGTCACAATCACTTCGATCTATTTGTATTGATTGTATATTTGGATATTACCAATATGTATGTAATGTAATATTGTAATAATGATAGAATGACGGGTAAGGCGGTTAGTTCTTTATTCATTTAATCCTCTATTATTATTATTATATTATTATTATTATTATTATTATTTCCTATTCATTCAATGAATAATGATCCATTTGACTGAATATTAAATATATATGATTCATAATTTGTCCCATAATTATCCCCTAACCATATTATGAAGGGATATAATACGGATATAACGTGATTGTATATATATATATATATGGAGTGCGTGCATGTGCGTGTGTGTGAGTGTGTATTTGAACTTTTAACGAGCTATTATTTGATTGGTCAATTCAAATAATCCTATTTTTAGATAATAAATATAAACTGCTTGTTCGATATTCAATGTCATTTGAAAACTATTCTATGCTGGCACAATATTTAAAGATTATTTATATAGAATTTTTTTCCTAGGAAAAAAACCCAACAAAACAAAACAAATATGTTTTGTTGCGATGGTATTCTTCATTCTATAATTTCCATGGATTTTAATTAAGAAATAACTAAGTCAAGACTATAATTTATAGACGAACCAATCAGATATAAGATAACAGGTCTAGGATTTTGGCGCGAAATTCATTCATCCATTTCGTTAAATAGAGTTTAGACATCATAGTTGATGTTAGATCATGATGAAGAATCCGAAATCTAATCCTTAAGTATAACAATCAACTTAAAATCTTAATCTTATTTCTTAACACTGGTCTATAACCTTCATTTGGTCCTAGTTTAGTAGGTAGATACTCTCAAGTTTATCATGGATTCTCTCAAAGTTCGTCCATAAATGATAGTCTCACCCGTAAAATTTGTGTATATTGGCAATAATCAAATCATGTTGCTTATTAAATGTGTAAACGATACACCAGTTTAGACGGTGGTTGGAGGTATTCAACAGGAAACCCTGGACCCTATCTCTAACCATCATCTAATTACAACATAGTGCACGCAATGTCAAGTCACTTAGACTAGTGGCCACACTGCAACTTGATCGATAGCATTCGATCTGCACTAAGAAGGACTTGACACACATGATATTGATCACCACCCAGTGACCGATCTATTGTGATACACCAGTTTAAAATAACTAAGTATATATAGGGATTATTGTTATTGCGGAGATCAGTTAAGCATAAAAGTGATATTCATTATTAATTAACGCTGTGGTTTATATTACTTATATCGGCATAGGTAGTATATAACGTCAGTTAGGAACAGAATGACTGGCAGCAGAAGATCGAGAAGGAAAGAATGAGAACAGAAAGCAATTGGTTTAGAAATGAATGAACAATGAAGTTTGGGACGACTGATTGACATTTTGTAAATGAAGTATTTACTGTATGATTCTCAGATTTTACTAAGAGATTCTGTAATTTTGGTGTCCAGATACATTCAATTGTCCCCACTTGTGTTCTTGTTCACTAAAACCATACTTACGGTGCTGAAGTGAACGAGAACAAAAGTGGAGACAATCAAATGTATTTGAACACGAAATTACTGAATTTTGGCGAGACTATAATTTATAGATAAACCAATCAGATATAAGATACCAGGTGTCAAATTTTGGCGCAAAATTCATTCATCCATTTGGGTAAATAGAGTTTGAGCATTAAAGTTGATATTAGATCATGATGAAGAATCCGAAATCTAGTCTCTAAGTATAACCATCAACTTTAAATCTTAATCTTAATTCTTAGCACTGGTTTATAACGTTCATTTAATCCCAGCTTAGTAGTTGGACACTCAACATTATCACGGAGTCTCTCAAAGTTCGTCCATATACTATAGTCTCATCATTTTGAGTAACTTGTAAGACACAATACAATAGTCAGTTTTAATACTAACTTGTATAATTAAAAAGAAAGAATATCCTAATTAATCTACTTAATTTGTCAATTATTTGTAAGTACTATACCTTGTCATTGATATACATATTATGAAATTCAATGACAAGACTTTAAGTAAACTACTTTTGACCAGAAGGTGGAAACTATACTAAGTTATTTAATGTCTTAACTATATATAACAAGTAAACAGAATAAATACTTGATGTTGTAGATTGGACAGTTTAAAATATTTACTATGATAATTAATGCTTAACTCCGCCTGGAGTCCCTCCGGGGGCTACTGTCGGTCCCAAGCCCGGATAAAGGAGGGGGTTGGGCATAGGGTTAACGACCCCATCCCGTAGAAAACCAACTCGCTAAAAAAACGCTAACCAGAAAAACATAATTCAAACCTTTAAGTAATTAATAGTTACTAGAAAGGTTTATGCCTTAAATTATAAAAGGTTTTAATTGATTACTTATATTAGTTTATTACTATTGAAAAAGGTTTTGTGTAGATTAAATGACTTTATAATTGCTATTCGTTATACAAAAACGTCAGATAAAGCGTCAGTGATATCCAAGCAATAGTAGATAATTGTTCCATATCGCTATAGGACTTTTCAGTAGTATGCATTCAGGACCTAATATTGCATCGCACCGCCTGTTACTCCTAATGGATCATAGGCCGCCGACCAGCATTCTCCAACACACTCTGTCCTGGGTCTTCTTTCCTAGTTCCATCCAATTCTTGTTCATTTTTCTCATGTCTATCTCCATTTCCCGGCGTAATGTGTTCTTTGGTCTTCCTCTCCTCCTTTGGCTTTGGGGATTCCATGTGAGGGCTTGTCTTGTGACGCAGTTTTCTGCTCTCCTCAATGTGTGTTCTATCCACTTCCAGTGCTTCTTTTTGATTTCCGACTCCACTCAGATCTGGTTTGTTTTCTCCCATAGTAGGTTGTTGCTAATAGTGTCTGGTCAACTGATCCGAAGTATCTTGCGTAGACAACTGTTAATAAACACTTGTATCTCCTGGATGATGACTTCCGTAATTTTCCAAGTTTCCACCTCATACAGTAGAACTGTATTGATATTTGCGTTGAAAATTCTGACCTTGGTGTTGGTTGACAGTTGTTTTGAATTCTAGATGTCCTTCAGTTGTAAATATACTACTCTTGCTTTACCGATCCACGCTTTCACATCTGCATCAGATCCACCTTCTTCATCAATGATGCTGTCCAAATATGTAAATGTTTTTACATCTTCCGAATCTTCGTCACTTGTGATTGGATTGGTGCATGCTGTGTTGTGTCGGAGAATCTTGCTTTTCCCTTTGTGTATATTGAGACCTACTGCTGCTGAGGTTGCTGCTACACTGGTCGTCTTAGGACCTAATATGAGATTGTATTTTAGAGAATTCGTAAGTAATGAATAGGTGTTCAATAAAACATTGCGTGTAGAATTGTTATTAACTAAACAACAACTAAGATTCATTGACTGGTCATTTTTTCCCTCTTTTTTTTTCTTTGTTCTCATTCGTGTTACTCTCAATTTTCATAAAAAAGATCTTTTTGAACTTAAGATGGTTGAATAACATTGAAAGAAATTCATGAAACTTTGTTGAATGTTTCCATCTTTCGAAGAATATTCTGTTCATTGATAATTGTAGGTACAAATTATTAGTGAGGGATAAACAAAATGAAAACTTTATTTATCATATTCCTATAGATTATCATTAGCCATTTATTGTGGTAATCATACGTCATATTCACTCAATAGAATTTGATCTATACCTTAAAATGAACAGTCTGATATTAGCTACTTAGAATTGACAATCAGGTGTAGACATCAATTAGTGTTTTGATTGAATAGTCGTCCTGTCTTCTGATAGAGGTTTATTTAAGGAAATCATGATTTATTAATCCAGAACTCGAGAGATGTCATCACAGTCAGTTACATTCAGCATTTGTAGTCCAGCGATCGATTACATACATATAATCATAAAGCATTACTGATGTTATAGAAAGTGGTGATTAGGGTTGGTAGTTTATACTTTGTTGATTGCAATCAATAAGTTGAAGTCAGTCCAACGATTCGAACAGGAGTGATTCATTAAAACAGTGTAGGATACGTGTCCATGAATTTGTAACGCATCTGTTTTTAAATGTTTAATATGTGGGCAATACTTAGTTTTTTTTTTCGTTTATTTGGTGAATGAATGCTACATAGAAGAGTATAAATTTAACCGAGAATTACATTTCTAGCTCTAATTTCCAATCTCTTTGTTTTTTTAGTCGGATATTTTAGGATGCGCTAGTGTCATGTTAATCAAAGACATATGTAGACAGTTTTAGTTATTTAAAATCAAGTCCCCAGTGAACTATACACCCTTATATACAGAACAGGCACACTGAAAGAACGGAAAAATGGTTGAAAATGATCAATATGTTACAGTCTTATTGAACACTGATAAAGGATGATGATCCTCACACATTATTGAGTCTCAGAGAGTCCCATACGAGAACGAAACGACCATCCAGTTCTTCCAGGTTTTCCATGGTAGTCTAGCTTCAGCTGACTTCGGAATTCAACTATTAAATTTATATAATATCCACAAAACCCCTCTCTGATTATATTCATTTTTATTTTGCCTACTGTTGATATCATACCAAAGGAAAGAATATTCCTGTACTGAGTTATTATCAGACGAATGCTCAGTTGAAACGAACATACAGTCTGGTACAATAAAGATAAAATGTCAGTTTATGAAAGTCATGTAAGTAAAATCCATATCAAAGTTCCTTGTTGTAAAAACATGTAGTCAAAATTAGTAATAACTATTAATATGTGATTATAGTTTCGATCGTCTCGTGATGGAAGTGTCTCTCAGTATGGTAGCTCAGTATAAACTAAGCCTGTAATGGCTAAAAAAAAGGTCTAGTGAAGAAAGTGAACAACTCCATTTAGCGCAAACTGGTCATAAACCAGTATAAGCCATTCTTTCTCACTTATTTTTCGAGTCCGTAGTTTTCTGTCAGTTTGTCAGACTCAAAGTTATCCAAATGGCAGAAGCAATTGTCATTCGGATAAAAAAACCCGGAGGTATATGTGTAGAAGAAATATCTTCAACTGTTTCTCTTACTTTGGTCAACCTCAGAGTCAATTTTTCATTAGGAATCATAACTATTGAATGTCCTAATTTAGCTAATGTACTTACAACCTATTTTAGACAAATATTACTATCTTTGTTATCATGATTCCCATATCTTTGTATTATTATTATTATTATTATTATTATTATTATTATTATTATTATCAGAATGAGAGTTTGTGGAGATTGTAGTAATTTTAATAGTTAAATTCGTAAGTCGATAT